TCAGGAATTTTATTATAAAAATGTATACCTTGACCCATAAAAGATCGGTAAACCTTCTGTAACCTGTAGGGTGGCAATGCAAGCTTATTTCTATTCCTTGTGTTAAAATTATGCACGTTACTGTTTTTGGTATACAAATTGATATTATTTTTAACGAGGAGTATACAATTGTAAATGAATTGAGAAGCAACAGTCAAAATGCCGATTTCTTTAAATTTTTCTCTAAGAGATGTTCGGCTACTCAATTGATAAATAGATCTCACAGCTCTTTTTTGTAGAATGAATTTACTTTCAATATCAGCTGCTGTTCCCCAGAGTATAATACCGTATGATAAGATACTATGAAAGTAACTAAAATATACAGTCCTGGCAGTTTCTGTATCAGTAAGTTGTCTTATCTTTCTTATGGAATAAGCTGCTGAACTAAGTTTACCAGCCAAAAGCGTAATGTGATGATTCCATTGCAGTTTTGAGTCTATAGTTATACCCAAGAATGTAGTTGAGTCTACTAAATCTAATTTATTATTATTTAATTTAATTTCAATATGTTCGACTTTTACATTAGGTAAAGAAAATTTAATACACTTGGTTTTATTAGCATTTAGCTTTAGATTATTAACATTAAACCATTGCAAAACTTGCGAGAGAGCATTATTAACATCGTCATAGTTGTTCTTGCGCCTGTCAACGTTAAATAATAAAGATGTGTCATCAGCAAATAATACTATCTCACACAAATTTTCTACAAAAAATGGCAAATCATTTATATATACTAGAAACAGAAAGGGACCCAAAATTGAACCCTGGGGAACGCCCATTTCCACATGAGATCCAGATGATCTAACACCATTTACCTCTACAGTTTGAATTCTGGAACTGAGATACGACTGTATTAATTTATATGCAGTACCTTTGACTCCATAATGACTTAATTTCAATAACAGCGTGTTATGATCAACGCAATCAAAAGCTTTGGATAAGTCACAGAACACTCCAAGAACATTCTGCGACTTCTCCCAAGCCTCCAATATACTCCTTACAAGTGCAACACCCGCGTCAGTAGTAGATCTACCTCTGGTAAAACCAAATTGTTTCCTATGCAAAAGTTTATTTAGGTTGAAATGAGGAATTAATTGTTCCAGAATAATTTTCTCAAATATTTTACTTAGAACCGGTAATATTGATATAGGCCTATAGTTTCCAGGTTCACTTCTATTTCCTGATTTAAAAAGAGGTATAACTTTACTGTATTTCATCAAATCCGGAAATACGCCTTGATCAATACAGTTATTAAATATATCAACTAGATAAGGGGCAATAACGGGTATTATACTTTTAATAACTTTAGTAGAAATACCCCATAAATCACTTGTATTTTTTTGTTTAAGAGATTTAAAACACTTAATAACATCAATAAAACTGATATGTCTAAACTGAAACACGTTATCACACTTAGGTACATATTTCTCGAGCAATGTCTTGGCAGCCACCGTTGAAGAGCTCAAATTAGATGTAGCCACCAAAGGAACATTAACGAAATAATCATCAAAAATATTAGCGATATGTTCCTTAGATTTTATTAGAATATTATTGGACTTAATTTCAATAATATCGTCACGTGGCCTTTCTTTGCCTGTTTCACGATTTATAACATTCCACGTTGTTTTGATTTTATTATTCGATTTACATATTTTATTTTTAATAAAATTAGATTTGGCTGTTGCACATACCTTTTTGAAGGTTTTAGAATAACATTTAACGTAATCAATAAAACTTTGTGAATGATTATATTTTCTCAGATGATACAATTCATAAAGTTTGTTTCTACTTTTATAGATACCAGTCGTAGCCCAATCACAGAACTGTAACTTCTGAGTAAGTTTCGAAGTTTTTAAGGGAAAGGCCTTATCGAATTCATTCCTTATTAGATTAAAAAGATCCCCAAAAAGAATATCAGGATCATCATGTGTCCATGGGATATGAGAAATCCTATCATCAATGTTTTTTTGAAAATTTTCTAACCTGTTTTCTGTTATTGGTCTCAATTCAATTACTTTGGTTTCATTTTTTACATCTATTTTATATTGTATTTTTAAGCCATAATGGTCAGATGTAATACTATTAAAAATAGACTTACTATCAGGAGTACTATCTGTAAATACATTATCCAAACAAGTTGCCGAATGTGATGTATACGTACTGACATTGAATTTTGTTCAAGAATATTAATATTAAAGTCACCGCAAACAACCAAAAACTTATTTTTTGACTTTAACTTTTTCAGTACATCCTCCATTACAGATTCAAAAATGTTAAAGTTACCTACAGGGGGTCGGTATACGCATACTATTATCATCTTATTTAGTTCCACACAAGATAGCTCAATGCTACGTTCAATTGAAAGGCCAGCTATATCCTTTCTATCCTTACATCTAATATTTTTGTTGACAAAAATCAATGAGCCGCCGTGTATGGCTGTCTTTCGAACATAAGCACTCAACAACTGAAAATTGTTTATGTGATAAGACATTTCACAAAGCTTGAGCCAGTGTTCCGTTAAACATATAATGTGTATGTCCTCACTTCTCGAATACAATTCTAATTCTAGGTCTTTGCCAGCCAAACCTTGTATATTTTGATGAATAATATTAATAATGCTTTTATTAGGTTTGGCTGTTGTCTTTAAGCTCAGTTTAAAACTGGGCTGGTTAAATTGTTAATAGTTAATATTTCTTTTACTAGAAATACTAACACTATTTTGTTGAATAGGGTTAGTTATACCATGTATAACCGTATTTTGTATATTAAAAGCTAACAAATTAGCTATCTGGGTCCTAAATCTCCTTGCAAGATACATAGTATCTGTAGTCAACTTAAAATATCTAATATATTTATTTATATCAAAATATAAACATACGTCACTATGACTATTAATTAAATTATAAATACTTAAATTTAAATTAAAGATGCGCTTGTTCTGTTCCCTAGATAAGTTATGTGCATATGGGAAAGCGCTAATTATTATTTTACAATTTGATTTAGATTGTATTTTTAATAAGTGCTCAATACTTTTTGTAATGTCCCGTATTGATAATTTGGAACTGTCACCACACAAAAACAAGAGGTTCGTATAACTATCCACATTATGGTGGGTCAAATTATTAACAATGTCATTAAATGATTTTCCAGGAGTACATATATTTATAATATTTTCCTCGCTGTAATTTTTTACTAATAGTCCTAGCCCCTGACCTAACTTGTCTGAGAATATAATTGTTTTATTTTTATTCAACTTTGAGTTTTCAGAAAGCGCTGGCTTGAAAGGAGAATTATTATATGTTGTGCCAATTTTTTGTAAATAGACTGATGAATGACCAGAAATTTGGAAAACTTGATTATTATCTATATTACCATTTTCTCCTAATGCTAATGACTAATGACGCTAATGACTCTGTAGTACTCCGAGAATTAATCGAAAAATGTGCAGAATAGCGCCGCAATTTTCTACATTTATTTTAACATATACTCTGTTTTTGAGCAGACATAATAGTTAAAAATGGCTGGTGATAATAGAAGAAAACAACAATACAGATAGATAAAATTATTTGCAGATGGTATTATTGCATGCTAGACGGCCATGACCACGGCCACTGGCCGCAACGACCAGGAAGCCAATCGCCTAACGGGATTTCTTTGGAAAACGCTAACGCTTACGATTTCATTTTGTTATTTCTTATTTATTATTATTGTTAATTTATAACCTATGTTACGGGGTCTATCTCATAATTGAAACTGGTTCGGCATGTGAAATTTTGGTCGTATAAATAATGTCTCATGTGCTGTATTTAAATAACAAATACTGAAAACGCCCATTCATAATGTACTTTGTAAATTGTGATGAAAAGAAACAAAAGACATTTTTTTGCGGTTTTTGTACGGAACTCTTGGTGTGCGGATCAGACTCGCACTTGGCCGGTTTTTTGGTGTTGTTAACTACTTTTCTTTTTGATTGGGTCATAATTTATTTATTGGACACATTAGTTTCAATCACTATATTTTTATTATAAGTTGACCATAATTTAAAAATAATAATTTTAACCATTTTATTAATTTTATTTTATTTTTTATTTGGGAAACAATAACAAAAACAAAATTTATTATATTTAGATTAATTTAATATAGAAAATAACATACATCAACAAAGTTTCCACCTACCATTAGTACAGTTACAAGCAGCTGTGTATTTATTAAAAAAAACATATAAAGTTGAATAAAATACGACATTGATTTATTTGAAATAATAGACAATGAAAAAAAAAATACATAAATCAAATTTACAAATAAATATTTTTTTAGGATTTTCATTTCATTGATTGACAGTTCATTCATTCAATTACTTCATTTATTTTTTGCATTCATTAATTCCATTTTTAAACATATCAATAAAATTAAATTTATTATTATACGAATCACAGGCTCGGTATAAAAATGTGTTGGAAGTATATTTTGTCTTAACAAAAGGTACACTAGACAGGCTGTTAGACCTAGAGTTTATACGGGAACACTTAAATCGAATGTTACTCAAAAAAGATGTTGATAAATTAGGTATAAATGATATCTCATATATAAAATTCTCGTGTCGCGCTGTTTGTGGTTAAACTCCTCCGAAACGGCTTTCCCGATTCTCATGAAATTTTGTGTGCGTATTGGGTAGGTCTGAGAATCGAACAACATCTATTTTTCATCCCAGTTAATGTTAAGGGTAATCCACCCCTAAATTTTTTTTTTTCAATTTTAGATATATTTTTTTTTAATTTTTTTATGGTGCATCATACACAAATACATAAAACCCTAAATTTTCACCAACCAACCCCTATTTTTTTATGGCGGTACGAAGTTCGCTGGGACAGCTAGTTATATATAAAAATGATCTCAAATTTTAGTTTTTTAAATATATTATGTTGTATATTTTAATAATTCGTGTAATTTTATTGTTTCAGTCGGAGGACCGGTTTGCTGGCTACAAAGGTGTCCGGGATATAACCATAAAGAAGGTAGGAACACACAAATTAAATTTAATTGCAACCAGTAGTTATGGTCTGTCTATGATAAGTTTTTACTAAAGAAATTTTTACTAGAAAATATCTATACGGTCTAGGCATCAGGCAAAATATATTTTACATATGCATCACCAAAAACACAAAGAGAATGTCAAGATTTTCAAGCCAGGCGCGTTTCTTACTTGATGACAAACTACACGATTATCCAGTAAAATCAAAACGTCATAATTTCACCAACTGTATCATCATCATCCTTACTTTTAGTTTGGTCGCATTATGCCTGAACGTTTTAATGCAGGTTGCAAACCTCTGCTTCCTTGGGTTTTTCAACAGAGCCATTTTGTAATTTGCAGTAATCATGTAGTAATATTGTAGTTTTCAAACGACTTTTGTTATAATATAGTCGAATAGTTAATATTTTAAATTGGTACTTGTATAAATGGCTGTACTTGTACATTTTACGTATAAGTTGATAAAATCGCAATTAAACACAATGAGTGGAAAATGTGCACCTGTAAAAGAACCTTTTTTTTACTTCTTTTTAATGTTATCTGGAATCAAGTATAATAAACTTGAAAAAAATGTGGCTTTAAATCGATAAATTTCGTTCTCAAGTAGGTAGGTAGGTAGGTAATAGCGTAACAAAGGAAAATAGAAATTATATTTTTTTACTTATATATACGACATAGTATCGCTAACATGTTCTTGATCTATATTGTATTTCTATAAAAATATACTTATATAATATGTACAGTATATGTATTCTATCCGTTACCCTAGTATCCCATAATACAAGCCTTATAGTGCTTACTTTGGGGCCAGGCTAATTGGTGTGAGTGTAGGATTTTTTTTTATTTTAATATTGAAGATAGGATATTTTACTGAAAGAAGCCATCATTTTATTTTTAATAATAAGTAGAACTGAGTTCACAGATTTTTTTTTAAAATCGGCTGCCACTGACGGGAATTGAAATTCTAAAATGTTAAAAAAACACGTGTCGAATTTTATGATAACCGTCGAAACGGTAAATCATAAGTTTTTTTTTTCTAAATAACATAGTATTTTAGATGAGAAAAAGATCATGAAATTAAAATTTTGTTCAGGAGAATTTTCTCTGCCTTGGACGTGGGACCAAGTAATATATATACATACTACTTATTATAATGTTATGTTGTTTTCTTCCAGGGTCCATCAGGGTTGGGTATCATGATCATCGAGGGTCGCCACACGGAGGCTGGGAGGGGAATCTTCGTGTCGGACCTGCAGGAGGGCAGCGCTGCTGAGCAGGTAATATATGTGTCCAACGTTTAATTACAAGTTGATTGAGGAGGTTGAGAGATGACCAAGATTATAGATGAATGAAGGTAATGAGATGAATAAAATGTATGAAAATAATGAAATGTCTAATGTAAATATAATGGAATAAATGAAATGACAAGGATGAAATGCAATAGATGAAATGAACGGTATAAAGAAATTATTAAAATAGTGATAAATAGAAATAATGAGATGACATTAATAAAGGCAGTGCATGCTTAGCGAAACAAAGTTAAATGAATTGTTAAAATAATCGAATTAAACGAAAATAATGAAACAAACGAAACAAAAGTAAAGAACGAAATAATAAAATGAATGAAATTAAGGAAATGGTTGTAAGAAACGAGATGAACGACATGAAATAGATTTAAATTTTTAAATCATCGAAATGAAAACACTTTGGTACAACAAATAAATAAATAGCGAAATAATCTGTTCTTCTTTTGTATGTATGTATTTGAATAAATTAGCGCGGTCCATCAATCTATCCATAATATATTCGGTTAAAATACATAGATTTGTGATCAAATCAATCAGTTGCATTATATCAAGTTGTTTATTAACATTATTGTGATTGTTGTGTATGCTTGTAATTGGTCTGCATATAAGAAAACTGTATAGTATCCGACCTATTCATTAATGTATTAATATGTGCGACTGTTAGCATGCCTAAATAAATAAATAAATGAATGTTCTTGTAGCTGATAAGAAGAGAAGTATTTGTTTCTATATTTTCTTGCATGTCCTACTGTGTGGTGTATTAAATAACTTCACCTTATTCATTTCAGGCCGGTCTTCAGATTGGAGACATGATACTGGCTGTGAACAGGGACTCCTTACTCAGCTGCAGTTATGACGCGGTAAGGGTTTTTATTGTATCACAAATTTGACAATAATTATTTGGAGACCGCTGAAGCGGAGAGCTAGTGGGATGGAATATGAAGGCTAGGATTTAGGACGCAATGGGTTTATCAACACGATTTTATAGTAAACCACAAACAATATTTAAGCTGATGACAAGCAAAGACTATGACACACAATAACAATTTTGAAAGCTAAAATCATAAAAATGTCAATACTTTAAAAACACTTCAAAAAACCATAAAAACTAAATCTATAAAAGAGGTCGGCAACAACCGCTATGCTACCGAGACCTGAATCGACGTGTCGAATTTCTTTCATGTTTTACAAGATCCAAATATGTTAAAGAAGAAGTAGTAGTAGTGAATATGAAAAACTTTTTTTAAAATTTCATGTTAAAAATAAAAGAAGGACTTTTTGGCGGGATCGGGAAGCGTTACTTTAGCAGTTTTGTTTTTCTTGTTAAAAATTGTGTTGTGGCGGATGTTAGTGTCTAATAATGGTGGATTATTTACCACTATGTGTTCTGGAACATGCACAAGTGTTGGCAAGTGAAACAAAATAGCGGAAAGTGTCTTTCGACGTTCCCTCAAGAAGTCCACGGGGAGGTTCCAGTAAATCCCCACACTTTTACTGAAACATAGGGAAAAGGGGATTGACTTGACTGCCACTTACTTTTACTTGATTTATTACTTTGACCACGAGTGCTTTAGTATTTGTAAACATTGTAACACTTGACATTGGCTAAATGCACAAGCCATGCGAAGCAATTCAGAAAAAAATGCTCGTATTACATACTAAACAAACACACGTATTATTTGAATAACAATTTTCAAATAAGATCTAAAATAATGGTCTTATTGTCAATTACTTTGCGATAGTAATAATATTAATGATTCATGCTAAACACCTTCTTTATCAGACGCGTGACTTAGAGAAGCATTAAATAATTTTAAATAAAGAGTGTAGACTACTAATAGTTACATATTGTTACAAAGTGATAGTAAATTTGATAATGATGGTAAGCTACCACCATAGCATATAGACGCTTGCGATACCAAGATATCACTCGCAGCGTTACTTACCCTGACCCAATCTCTTAACCCGTGAAGCCCTGAAACCTTACTCACCGACAGAAATACAACATCACCAAATGGTAGTGTTATCTTGCTGTGGTCTTCTGTAAGGAGTTTACTTCCCCAGACGCTTCAATTCGAGATGGAAAATTTGCTAAATCGTTCTTTTTTTATAGTTACTCGTAGGTAAGCAAATAACTCTTCCCAACCTGATTTTAAGCTCATCTGATCCGCTGATCAATATCTCTGTCTTTCTTTCTCCCTAGGTCCCATCTTGTCTATTCTCTTTGGAAAGTGGGGCACCCCCTACTTTAAATCTGTCCCCTTCTTTCATCCCATCGTCCATCCAGCATGGTATAGCTGATGGACGATTTCGGTGACGGGCTTCCCGACACATGTGCCTGTCACCCGGACACCAGTAACATTTAGAATCATTAGTTAAGAACACGTTCAATATGTGAACTATATCGAACCAAGTGAAAAACTCAGTTATAGTAATATAAGTTATTTACGGGATTGTTACCATGTACCTTGTTTTTAGCGAGTTTCTGATATTTCGGCACTGTTGCAATTACTTCAGTTACTCCGTGATCATGGCGCTTGCAGCAGTGCCGAAATATCGGAAACTCGCTAAAAACAAGGTACATGGTAACAATCCCGTAAATAACTTATATTACTATAATGTTTGTGATCATGAAATTTTAAAACAAAAACTCAGTTATTTAAAAAAAGAAAAAAAGACCTGATGTTAACTGGTGATAAAGTCTAAATGCGAAGATAGCTGGTACAGCAGTTATAAACAGCTACACTAACAATCCTCACCATGCTGGCCTGCAAAAATGCTTCTTCACGCCTCTCCTAAAGTACTTCTCTTATGTTAAATAATATGTCTTTAACAGGCGGCAGCTAAGTTAAAGCAGACTGAAGGTGTGGTGGTACTCACTGTGTGCAGCCCCAACATGAAGGATAAGGATGAAGGCGGCACTACACCAGGTTCAATATTAATCTTATTCTAATACGCATAGAGTAGGGAATGCTATGTTCATTTTATGATGTGGCAGAGAAAGAATGTTCGGAGTGTGAATTTGGAGATTTAGAAAAAAATTAAGTCTTGTGTTTCTACGAATAACTTAAAAACAAGAAAGCTTTCTTTTGAAACCAAAGTCACGATTCAGATAGGCTACATGCCTAAAATTAAGTAATTTCAGGCATTTGTCCAATTGTTTTATGCTTCTTTTGTGAGAAGCATGACAAATTCAGTCTGCGATAAATTTACTAAATCAATTTTTGCTGTACGATGGTTGTTGTATGGAAAAAAAAACTCGAATTTTATATGCTTCGGGAGGCCTAATAGACCGTTGGTTCCGGCAAAAACGTGTGTTCTATTTGTGGGGTATTTTTTTGGTCTAAACTAATTTCAGTGTCTTATCAGGAATTAAAAGGTTGGGATTCGGCCTGTCGGTGGCCACAAGTACATATTAAATTTTCAGTAAAAAATATTTTCTCATACGGTTTTTTACGCCATGAAAGTGTGTCACGTTGCCAGAAGTCATTTGATTTTTTTTGTATAGGTAGGTACGACAAATCACTCCACCCCACCTGATGTTAAGTGACGGTGAAGTCCAGACGTGAAGATAGCTGGTACATCAGTTCCACCTGCGACACCAGCCATCCTCACCTTGCCGGCCTGCATGTTGCTTCTTCACGCCTCTTTTAAAGGATCCCAGGTTGCAAGAGAGAGGGCAGAGCATTCCATTTACGGATAGTGCGACAAAGAAATGAGTCCCCAAATTTCTTTGTACGCATTGGAATTGTGGTTACAGTTAGACGGTGACAACGTAGGCAAGCTTGCGTGGTCCTCTGAAAGGGGAAGGTGGAAAAGAGAATAACTCCTTAGAACCCTCTGATATTCGATGGACGCGAAAATCGCCCTTATCTCATAGCTAACTATGTCGTTTATCGCGTACAGCGGCAGGCAGCGCGGCGTCGCGCAGCCACACGCCCGACGCCGCGGCCGCGACGCGCGCGCCCACCCCGCGCCCCGCACCATCGCCCGTCAAAGGTAACCCCCCTATATTAATTTTAAATAGGTGTGATCGTTCTAAAGACGTACCGGTTTCAAGGACCGTTTTGTGTTCCGCGACGATAGAACCGTTTTACGTTTCGGATCAAAACAGTCTTCGTCGAACAACTAGTCCTCGGATTGTCTGCTCGCCAATATGTACTTTATGATATAGTAAATACAGTCTATAATAGAACGCAATGATATGAGGCCGTTTCGTTCTATGATAATTATGCTTTCATTTTACAATAATATAATCTTTATTATTGAACCTTAAAGTCGATTATTGTATAACACAACATTTATTTCGATGTTTCGTCGTCTCGTTCGCAGCAACGAAACGAACATTAACAAGATTTCATTTAGTTCAGTTTCGTTGCATTACATTCGTTCGACCGTCGCGTGTAGTTTCGTTGCGTCACCCAGCCGCAACCAAAACCAGTTGCGAACGAGAACCGTTTCGAGGACTAGTTTTCGTTTAAGAAAAATCGGTTGCGTTTCGTCGTCAGAAAATTTGAGAACGACCCACCGCTAATTTTAAATGTGAGGCCAAAGGGGAAGATCTTCCTCCGAGCTGGGTGATGTTAGCTCGGGGGCCGCAGCCCGACTGATGTTGGTCGGGCATCGTATATATGAAGAGTTAGCCGCCGAATTTCATTTGCGCGATAAAAAAAAGCAATTTCTAAATTCCAATCATAGCAATTGTAATGACGAGACATACGCATAAAGTTCCTTAATAATAATAAACGTAAATAATAGATTTTTTAATGCTTTTTTTGTGTTTTCAGCGGAACCTCCTCCAGACCCCGCGACAGCTGCCATAATCCCCAATCAAGAAATGACGATAGAAATAAATTCTGCCAACGAAGTATTAGGAATCGTTTTACTGGGAGGAAGCGACACACTCATCAATGTAAGTTAAATTATACCTATCAGAAGCCTTTTGTTTTTCTATTTAAATAAATTTTCTCATCAAAGTGGCCTTAAAAATCCATAACTTGTTGCTATAAAGATATTCCTCTATAAATGTTTGTCTTCACTGTTCTTATGTATAAAAAAATTTTGCAACATGCATCTGTAAATACTCTTGAACTAGTTCTAAGACTATTTTTTATTAACTCGTACTTTCTTCACAAATGAAAATTTCATTTTCTAAATTAGTTTATAAACAAATAAAAAACAGTTATTTAAGAAGGTTGTTGTCAGTTTAATTAATTTTGATTTTACGGTTTTTCTGACACCAAGCTCGCTTGCATTGACATGAATTGTCGATATTAAAATAAATAAAGATCATTATCATTATTATGTAGCTTTTCCGTGCAGACTCGGCCCTTTGAGGAGTTGATCAGGTCAGAGCCTTTTGTACTGAGACTTTTTAGTACCTTATCAAAAAAGTTAAATGGCTACATCTTTGGAGATCTCTCCCTTAATGTACTATTGACATGCACTAACGGCCAGTCCTCCATAGCTGCGGAACTATTGCCAGACAGGGATTTACTTGGTTTGGGCTATGTGGATGGGATGATAATGGACCAGATAACTGGGTTATGGAGAGAAAATTCAAAAAAATAAAAATTCAAAATTTTTTATTGAGTCTAGGTATAGTAGTCTGGGTTACAAGCACTTGTGAATGACAGATTTGGACATCTGCTTAAAAATCTGTCAGAACAATTTTAGCCTAGTAGATGGTGATGTTTGTACCAATGTTGTACTAACACCAGCCTTAAGATCTATAAGAAATTAAATTATTACGATGTTTTCGTCCGATTTCAGGGTGCAGCAGCTGTAATTCTCGACATATATGATAACGGCTGCGTGGCGAAAGACGGGCGGCTACAGGTCGGCGACCAGATACGGGAATGTAACGGGATACAAATCACTAAAGATATGGTCCACGAACGTTTATGTATGTCCATCAAGCAACGAGCACCGAAGGTACGATAATTATAGATTGAATTGTAGATTATATGGATATGTTTGAAAACAAATTGGAAAGGAATATGGTTTCTGAAAATCCCACTTATTGATTCCAAGAGTTAAAGATTTAACTCGAAACGCCGTGTTGTAATTAAACAAATCTATCCATGCCAGACCAATTTCGTAATTGCATATCCCTGTTTTTTTTCGTATTTTAATAAGTTCACCTTTGTTATATTTATATTTCTAAGCATTTAACTGCTAGATGTTTAAATCTAATGAAAATTTTACTAGAAAAAAATCCACGCGGACAAAGCCACGCGTTTCTGTCTGCTGCGCGTGGATTCTTTTCTAGTAAAATTACCTTTAAATTTAAGTTATCCTGTGCATTAGGTATGATCTAAGTAACATTAAGAAAGTACTTTTTATAAGTAAAAGCAAAAGTTATTCTTGACTTCGTCTGAGTGGAAATACAAACTTTAATGCTCAGTTTCACTCTCTAAAAATTATACTTTTGCGAATAAAAGGAGACCATAACTGTCTCTAGGTCTCCAGAATCCCATCTCTATCTGGACCAGAAATCAGCGTAATTGATTCAATGCTCATATTATTATAGCCCTTGTTCCACCTTTCAGTATTCCGGCCGTATTTTCAATGCTTCATCGATGAAGAACCGACAATGAAATGTCTGATTGATTTAAACGTCTAAGCAGCGACAGTTCATTCATAGTTCATCTCTTTCACTGTCTCGGTGTTAATTCTTTAATGAAATAACTCGATACATATTTCGTTCACGCGGGAGTTCCTCAAGGAATGGAAAATTAGATTTCATCAAAAGTGATGCGTCTATACTAACAATGCATTTACTACCGTTCATCATTCACAAATCATTGTAAAAATGAATCATTTTTGATGAACTGATTTCCCCTTAATGTATAGGTTTTATTTATATTTTATTTATTTAATTCAAGACTAAAATACATAGCATTTGCTTAATATAATACAGGTTTTAATTACGGATTTTCATTATAAAGGTTTAGAAAACCCTCTACCAAACAAGGGCGAGATGTTTGCAATGCACGCGCGCTATTGTACATGTACATGTGTGTGTGTGTGTGTCATTTTTGTTTGTATATTACCAACCAACCAACAGCCCTTAGTCTTAGTAGTACGGCGGGCTGTTTCCGCAACTCGACACTTAGTGCCTATTTTGCGTAGGGATCGGCATCAGTCCTGCCATCTCAGCTCCTCCAGAAAGCTCAGCAGTCCCCGGATGTTGCCGCAGGCTTCCCATTATAGAAGTCCTTTATCTTGCATCGCCTCTGCACTTCAGCACAACATGAGCGCTCGTCTCCTGACAATCAACCAACAGCCCTAAAAGTTGTTTAAAATGTAATAACGTTTGTCCCCAGCTCCGCTTGTCAGTATTCCGTCCGTCCCCCGTCGAGTGGACGACCGCGGAGGCGGAGGTGTCCCGCAAGCCGGCCCGCGCGCTCGGACTCACCGCGCGGCGACCCGCCCGCGCGCCGCACGCCTACCTCGGCGACCACGTACGTATCATCATCATCATCATCATCATCATCATCATCATCATCATCATCATCATCATCATCATCATCATCATCATCACGACCGCGGAGGCGGAGGTGTCCCGCAAGCCTATTATATATTATCATCCTTGTGGCGGCGACATCTACATGCCCCACATATAATATAACATAGAGGAAATAGTCACTCGCCTCCTTGAGAGATGGCGCTACCGGCGCTGCGTTCGCAGCGTATGGAAGCCTACAACGCACAATAGAAATTCGGAGCTTAACACTTCATATATACGATGCCCGACCAATATCAGTCGGGCCGCGGTCCCCGAGCTAACATCACCCAGCTCGGTGGAAGATCTTCCCCTTTGGCCTTCCTACATCCTAATGACCCCCCTGCTGGGGCACAGGCCTGAACCTATGAATGGAATAGGGAGTGTGGGCCATGACCCCCCACGGGGGCCCAGTGCGGATTGGTGGGTGCTAACGACTGCAGATGCAGCAGTGACCGACGGCTTAACGTGCCTTCCGAAGTACGGAGGAGCGAGAGATAGTAAATTTTTGGTCACCCATCCTATGACCGACCACTGCGAAAGTTGCTTAACTTCAACGATCGCGGTCGAACGCGCTAACCACTTGCGCCATCAATCTCCTCAATCAATACGTACATTTATATTTGTCATGACAACGTCTTATAAATAGATGAACACCGGCTGCGCGCACGAAAATGTGTGACGTTATGTTGCGTTGTCACGAGTTAGTTCAACGTTCTACGGTGAGTGTCAGGTCGAAGGGTTTCTTTATCAATAAAAGGGTTCCGCTTTATGTTTTATTAAAAAATGTAGACTAAAGTTAAACACGGTCTTAATAGAATAGAATAGAATAATTCTTTATTACAAAACTGTTACATTTAGTATTACTGCTAGATGTTAGTGCACATAATTGAAATAAACAGTTACCCTAATCGGGCATGCAATAGTATTTTTTACAAAACATTATTAATTAAATATTCATTAAGATTATAAAATGCATTATATAATAGCCATTGCTTCAGGGACCTTACAAACTTCTATTCAGGAAGCGACTAAAAGAAATGCTATCTTTAAGCACCTTTGTTTGCTTAAAAGAAGACATACCGTAATAAATAAGTAAAAAAAATATATAATAGGCAGTATTAGATTTGAACCGAGACTAACTTTAGTCCACGTGTTTGAATAAGGTATTAAAATTTTTAGTTTTCATAAATTCATTCAAATAAAGCTACTTACAAGATCATCGTACCCCACCTGATGTTAAGTGGTGGTAAAAGCCAGACGTAAACAAAACAAGTGCAGCAGTCATGAGCTGCCAAATGAGTAACGCCCTATTTTGAAGGATCCTGAATTGTAGGAAAGAGGAAACATACGCGCGAATAGTGCGACAAAGAAGTCTGTAATAAAGTAATTGTATTATTAATGTAAACTAAAATAATGCAGAAAACCCTAATAAAAAATCGAAATTACCTATCCCATGTAAAATGAATAAAAAATTTCAGATCCCCGGTTCGCCAATTGAGCTCGACGGCCGACTTCAGAAGGGCGATTTCATAGTATCAGTGGACGGCAAAGATCTTTCCGAGGCAGACTACATGACCGTCGCGACAACGCTAAAACTCATCGGTAACAAAGTCAACATCAAAGTGAAAAGATTCAAAGTCGTCAGATAGATGAACGAAGACCATCAAGTGTAATGTTTAAAATCAAGCCAGATAACAATCTGTTGAAATGAAGGTTCAGAAAAATATTTACGAATCAACAAGGGTTGACGGGTAGTTTGTGAATCATGGTTGCTTTCCAATTACAGAGCATAATGCGACTCAGTGCCGCACAATGCTGAATTATGCTGATGCTTAATTGGAACGTGAATTAGTTTTCAAATGCACCAGCAGAGTGCGCTAAGTTCAGTGTTGAAAAAAAAAGTCAATGTTTGTACCTTCATCCATACTTATATTTATTTTTTAACAGTTTGAATGAACTTTGATTATTTAAAAAAAACTATTTAAAAAAACGAAAGATTTAATAATTTTTCAACAATAAATAATATTACTAACGATAACATATAAATAAAACATTTCGATCAATGCCAACTTAAAGAAAAAACACTTGTTAATTTTCTGTCTCTAAGTTGGTACGATTGCACGCATCACACGAAAGCATCACTTTTGAGAGTGCTCAATTGTGCGAAGCGTTGCTGTAGTTGGAACACTCAACGTTAAGCATTATGCCGCATAATGCGCTATAATGCTGTAATTGGAAAGCAACCCATATCTGCGAATGGAATTTCGATGAATCTACTTGTCCGAATCTACATATATGTGCATAATTTAAGTTGACCAATTTTCACATTCTCATATTTATCTGTTTTTATTTTACTAATTTATATTAATTAAATATTAATATTATTCTTATCATTTACTGCATAGTGGCACTAAATTGCTTAGAAATAGTTTCTTCCTAAATATTTATCGAAATCGAAAGTAGTAACTACTGGAAAAATTTAATTTATTTTAATTATAAAATAAAAATATCCCAGACGTTTGGCATTTATAAATATCCATTATTATTTATTTGTATTTAGTAGTTTCAATATTTTAGGAATAAATAATAAAAAAATATCTTGGGCCAAAATAATTTAGCTATGTACTGATCATTTTCTGGCTGAAAAATGTTAGTTAAGTGAACAGACAATAAAATATTGTATCGTTTCAAATCAATTTTAATAGTGAAATCATGGAAAATACATACAATAGGAAAGATGTTCTGTGGGAGACTATTACTTAAAAAATACATAAAATTCACTGTAAATTACGAGTACTTGTAGAGTTTCTTATTATTTACAAAGTAAATTAGGTAAGCTATAGATACATACCTATTCTCATAATATACGCTTGTTTTGATATTGGCAGCGTAAATCTTATACTTATTCCTTAACCTCTTGGGATAAAATAATTCTATCCTTTAAAGCTCAGTTATTGAACGAACCAAATGAAATAATAGAATATGGGCCAAAGAAAAGTACTGTAAAAGTAAGTATCAGAGAAATATGAAAATAAATAAAATTTTACTCGAAAAAAATCCAGGTGGACCAGGCAGCAGACGGGACTCGAAACCGCACCCTCCGCTATACGGACGGATTTTGTTCTAATAAAATTTTCTTTAGATTTAAACATCTAGCAGTTAAATGCTTAAAAAAAAGAAAATGATCAAATCTGAATATGCGATGAGATTGAAATCATAGGGAAAATTTGACATCAAAGAATAACTAAAGAAAGTGAAAGAGATGGAATGATATATTTAAAGTATTTAAGCTAAGACACCGATGAGATGTTTTGATCAGTCGAGACGGAATTAAAATATAGTTGACGTATGTATGAGAACCTAACATGCTTGGACGTTTTGGCTAGCAAACACAATATACATCATTCAATTTTTAAGAGTTATTTAGCTTTATGTAGTCGGAATAAATATTGCGCTAAGATAGAAATTCAAAATTCAAAGTAATAACTACCAACCAATTAAAGTAGTTAAGTAACTCACGAAAAAGCAAAAATATAATTTTAATTATCTATTACCTTGCATTATTAATTTTAATTGTACTTCAGATATTGCCAAAGTTCCACTAGTGACTAGACACTTAGGTGTAACCAATCCATGGTAGATTTTATTTAATCAATTGCATAAGATAACAATTAAGCATCTAAAAATTATAATAGTGCGAACTTTTTTGTTTTTTTTTTCAAAGCTAGGCCGAAATGACCCTTGGTTGTAGCGAGTAAGGTTATTTCAGTATTTAGTTTTGAAGTTAGTTTTGCTTCCTGCATCATCTTGCAGCAACTGGAGTTAATCATCTTGAACTTCTTGATCTTTCATACACGATGATCGACATATACTTTGTATAACAACAAAAACAACAATACGACCTTTATTAATAAGAACTATATATTTAGGTTCTGTAGTCTTTATCACAAGTACAATATAAGGGACTCTGATCAAGATTATTTTTTATGTTTGATTGTTCAGATCAATCTGTCTTAGTTTTTGGTCCTCTAAGAGCAAATCAAATACTTACTATCTAGTCGGCAATATAGTAGGACAATATTATTAGCTGCACATTCACATTCACTAGTACTATTAGTTTGCAATTAAAAGTGTTATTAATGTCCTCCAATAATGTAGGGCTGGCTAATAAATTTTAGAACTATAAATAAGTAGATATTTATGTCAGTTCTTCAGTTCTCAATACTTTATCTTCTATACAAGACCAGCTACCTAGAGGTTACTTGGTGAGAGGTGTTTGTTAATTTTTGGAAAATAACAATGACGGTGGCATTTATACCATGATTAGAATAATTTTCTTAACTAGGAAAGAATGAGGAAAAGAGCTAAATTCGGTTATACGATTGGCTTAAATTCACGAGTTAAATATTAATAACTGTCAGTCATGACTATTTTAATTTACAAAAAATATTTGCTTACAATTATAACTACAGTTATAATAATTTTTAGCAACAGGATACCAAACGCAGAATTTTTATAAAATTTATGTAGGCATGTATAGGGCAAATAATAACTATAGTTTCAAATACAATGTAAAAATACTATCTTAAAATGAGGTTAACTATATCCAATTTAATAAAGTCAAATATTATCTACGCCATTTTTCTATTAAGATTGCCTTTTTATGAATTAATTAAATTATATTAGTAGTATTAGGCTTCTTACTCCAATTATATCAACACCACAAATAGGATGCTAGAAAGATTAAACAAATTTAGAAATTATACTTGAAGTATGACATTGAAGATCCACAATAAATCTAGAAAAACTATAGTGTAACATAAAATTTAAATTAAAGATATCTTTTTTAAGAAAGATTTGAATGACAAAGTTTAATAAAAAATCTATATCGATTTAAAAACGTCATAAATTAGTTATTATAGCATCGATCTATTTTAGAAGCCTATTAATGAGATTTTTACTAATCTTAAATGAAGGAGTAAGCAACTAACTAAATGTTATATAAAGTGCTAAAATATTTCTATAGCAAAATGCCAATTCCTATTATGAAAATTATAATAATGCATTTAAAAATTAATAAAAAGTAAAGGATTGCGTAGCATAATTCTAAATCATTGTAAAGTGTAAAAAGTGTCTTTTTCTTTATCATAACCGATAGATTTAAATTAGTAGTACCTATAGTTAGAAAGAATACCTGAAAGAATCTTAGATCTCTATGGCCTGAATAAATAAATATTAAACTAGAATTTATGAATAATTCAATATTTAAAAATATTCTATATTATTTGAAACAGATAAAACTATAAATGCAGCTTTTGATGTGAATTTTTTAAAGTACAATTACTAATAATTCCAAAGAGAATAATTATTTCTTTAATAGGAACCGAATATACACAATCGTGCCATATGAGTATAGAAAGTGGGATAGTATAATTCTTTATGTATTATAAATTGGTACTATATTGTGAAATCTAAATTGTATTTAGTGCTATTTAATTATATAACATATTTAAGAAATTTATATTGTGAGTGTTATATTATTACACTAGATTTATTTGTCGTAAATACACTTAGTAACGTTGGGAATATTTTAAATTCGTATAAAAAAAATTACAGTGTTTTCTGAAGTAGTAGGTACTATGTAAGGAACACGTTTACAATAATTGTAGACATTTGTGATTTTAAAAATTAGTTAATTTATTATTATTTAAACTGTATTTCCTAAGTGTGATTGTGAATCCTTGTCAATATTAGTCTTAGTTTTAATATCTAACAATCACGTTAGAAAAAATACAATATACCTACTTATTTAGAAAAACGTGAACTTAGTTTTATTAACAATTAAAAGCACTAGAAACAAAATTTGATTTTTCTACTTAATTAAAATAAAATTATTAGGCGCGACAATTTTTAAACCGAAATATTCTTAAAGGTTACATTTGGGATTTTATGATAATTATTATTATAATAGATAAAAATGAAATAAAATGTAAAATTGTATGAAATAGTGGTTCAGTAATAATAAACTGTGCGCTTTTTTAACTAGTTATTGTTATTTATTTCTTATGACCCTTACAATAATCGTGTGTCAATGGAGTTTCATTAGTTCTGATCTTTGAGAGAGTTGCTAATGTTGCTGTTACTAAAATTCTAACTAATAAATTAAAATAATTCCCTAATCATTTCTCGTTGTTGTCCAAATGCATTTGCAATCTAATATGAACCGTGTCAAAGAGCAATACACCGAACTGTTAAGAGACTATTAAGAAAATTAATAAAATATATTCACTGACAAAATCAAGACCAAGCATGTGTTATAATATTTTTGTCACAATTGAATTGGACCTTTCGAAAACTCGTATGCCACAGAATGAGAGTTTTTCAGGAATCCATAAAAACTGGTTCCTGCCCAAACAATCGAGTTTTAAAGGAATTTTTGAAGTTTAGTATTTGAGTTATGTAAAAATTCAATTTCCCTCCGCACTTTTTCGAGAGCCGATTAATTTTTTCTTGTTTCATTAAAAATGGATCAGCATCGATAACATTTTCGTGCTATGAAATTTTACGATTTTAAATGTGGCTTAAAACCTGATCAGTCATTTGATCGATTTCGAATTGCTATTCTGGATAAAGGACCTTCAAAAGCAACCATCTACCGCTGGTGTAGCGAGTTCAAATGCGGTCGTCTTCCTTTGGGGGATGAACAAAGGAGTGGTCGTCCAACGACGGCTGTCACCGCAGAAAGTGTGCTGGCAGTAAAAAATCTAATTCAAGAAAATAGACGAAATACGTACAAAGAGATTCAGCATACTCTGCAGTTCACAAGATTTCGCACGAGCACCTTTGCGTAAGGAGGATAGTTTCCCGCTGGGTGCCGCACAACCTCACCGAAGCTCAGAAGCAGACAGACCCGTGTGGATTGGTGCAGTCATATGATACAAAAATTTGATGCAGGCTTGTACGGCGCGTTTACGATATTGTGACAGGGGACGAATTCTGGATTTCTCAATACGATCCAGAATGTGACTGTTTTAAAATGAACCAACGCCTACGAGAGTGAAGCGATTGAGGAGCGCAGGGAAAATTTTGATCGCTAGTTTCATCACTTTGACGGGTTACCTAATTTCATATTCACTTCGAGACCAAAGCAGCACCAACGCCGAATGATATAGTACAAAATGCCAGCCAGAAGTTTTTTCGGCAATGAGCAACCTAACCTAACCTAACCTAACACCGGGCTCCGCGGGGTCCCACTTCACCACGACAACGCGCCCGCGCACTCTGCGATGAAAACGAAGGGAGAAAGGACACCAGTCAGAGTCTTGGAACACCCTCCTTACAGTCCTGATTTGGCTCCGTGTGACTTCTTTTTATTCCCTAAAATAAAAAATCAGCTCAAAGGGATACAGTTTTCATCGCCGGAAGAAGCGCTAGCAGCGTTTGAGAAGGCCGCGGAAGAGGTATCTTCGGAGGACTGGAAAAAATGTTTTGCAAAATTGGTTCAGACACATGAAACCTTGTATAGAGGTTGGTGGAGAGTTCTTTGAAAAGATTTAATATAGAAATGTTTTTAATAAAAACTAGTTTTTTAGTTTCTTAAAACTATCTAAATGCCCATGTATCTACTCCCGCCATCTAGTAGTGCGGTAGTGTTATTCATGCAAGTAACGACTTTTACGCGGCATTATTTGCATTATTTAAAAAGAATGGAATATATTTTCTTATGTGATTAATCCTTAGAATACGTATAGATCTATCTACCTTTAAGAAAACATTTTCAGCAAAAAAGCTTGTTGGAAAAAAGTGACTTATGAGGTTTTTGAAATGAACGATTCAATTACTATTAGGCCTCATGATTCTTAAATTAGGTACCGCTAAAAGCGCTAAATATACCCCTTGGTAAGGTAAATGTTCTACCACTAATAGTATTTATTTATCCAATCTTTTGTACACACCACATAATGAGTAACCGGTGGAGGGCATTTAATACCACAAGCGTTCTCTATAGTCAACCAGGAAAGGTGTTGAAGATAAAATTTGTAACGCGGTAGGTAGAACAATTAGTGTAGGTAATAAATAAATCTGTAATTTCTGAAAATTACTAGAAATACTTAGTTAGAGTATAAGAAGTATGTTTTTTTATGTGTTTTTGTTTCTGTTTGTATGTAAGATTCCAGGGTTCCAGGGTAAGGATAAGATTAGTAATTAGGGTAAGGATAAGATTGGTGTTGACGATAGGTATTCTAGTACCTATCTCAAACGTCTTATGCTGGCCGCATGTTTCCTACGTATTTAACACGAAAAAATATAGCAATAGTGCTAAAGTATTATTTGGGGAATTTATATTATTGACGATATATAATTGACGACCTCCGTGGCCGAGTGGTTTATACGCCGTGTTTCATGTTGTCGCCGACTCGAGAGGTTCGAATCTCGGTGGGGACAGATGTTTGTGTGATGAATGCGAGCATTTGTACTCCAGTCAAGGATGTTTAATATGTATTTCTATATAAATATACTTATACATGTACAATATATGTATTCTATCCGTTACCCTAGTATCCCATAACACAAGCCTTATAATGCTTACTTTGGGGCTAGGCTAATTGGTGTGAGTGGTAGTGTACATTTATGTGAGAATACTGTTGTCTTATATTCCATCTAAAATAAATTGTGAAAATAAGAAAAAAACAATTTTAATACTTTTGGTGGTTTATTTCACAAGAATTACTTAAGGATAACTTTACAAATTAGAAGGCACAATAAAGTTAAACAATTACTATGATTTTAATTTGTTACTTTTGGCAGATCATAATAAAAATATTATCGTCAATAAGGAAAAATAATGAAAAAAAGGTTTACATAAAAGACGCTATAACATTAATTTTGGTAATGATGCAGTTTTAATTGCATATAAAGTAAGTACTAAAAGTGATGCGGAATGACTAGAATACTTACAACACATTTGCGATGATAATACTTGTTAATTTAAAATCTAAATTAAAATTAAATTACTTAAAATCACATTTGTTTCTAGGTACAATGTTTCTAGGTAGTGTTTGAGCAATAAATACTGAAATAATAAAATTAAGTAGTTTTGATACAAACATCAATTAATAATCACTGTGTTAGTGTATAAATTACATTTGTTTTGTTCATAATTTGTAAATTTTGAATTTAAAAATAAAATAGTAAGTCATGAATGATAAAATCAACTTTCAGGTAAACTCGAATACAATTTTATAATTAAAATCAATTACACTTTCAATAAAAATAATTCAATTCTTGAAAACCTTGGAATATTGGATCATATCAAATCATCAACCTGTGATGCAACTTGAGATTAAATAATGTATTATCTCTCCTATAGACATACCTTAACTAAACCAGATTTGGAATTCGTGAGGATTTAAAATGTCGTGTATAACATAAATTACATATTTGAATAAAAATATTTTGCCAAAGTGTGAAGCAATTAAAAACTTATTCCTTGTTGCCTTTCTGAGGATTATGCTTTTGTATCTTTTTTTATTTTCAGTTTAAAGAACATCAGTTTTCTATTCTCAGAGTTTCTCCTCTGAGCTTTTTCTTATAACTAATGGTTTCAAACGTCCCCTCAACTTCACCAACCTCTTACTAACTTTACCTTGAGATGTGGGATTCCTTAAGTCTGGCATAGATTTGCTCTCCTGTACTGGAATATTTTCCGTTGACTTCGATACTGTTCCATAATATCTCGGCATACTGAAGTCGTTCTCTTGAAACATCATTTCAGTTTTCAATTTAAGACTTTGGAGTGTTGTATCACCTCTATATTCAGGTATGGTAGGACTATCAGCAAAGAATCTGGGCAGATTAGTACTCTTGATTATTGGAGTATCTGGTAAACTACTTAATTTAATTTCACTATCAGCGGCCGAAAGCACTCCTACCATCGATTTAGATTTTATCAGCGGAGGTTTTTCAGGAGCCAAATGTTCCGGAATATTGAGGAACGAAGCACTTCTGTGCGGTACCCTAGATAGCACCTTGTTAATTTTCGTAGGATCTATATTCTTCAAGCTTTCTACTCTATTAAGTACTGGTCTGGATAGTCTACTGCCACTGTCCAGTCTTTCCAAAGTCTTGGCGCTATTACTTCTAAGAATGCCTTTGACGCTTTCCACTCTAGGCAAACTTAGCGTTGAAGGTAAAGCCATAACGGAAATGGGGTCATATTTGTATATCGGGCTGGGTGTCGTTATTTTATCTTCGTCTTTCATCGTGACCGTGCTAGGTTTTACGACATCTTGCTTCTTAACTTGGACTACGTTCCTAGTTATTCCCTCTTCAGCGTCTGTACTTTTTATTTCGACTTCTTCTTCTTCCTCAATTTTGAACATGTTGTGGTCAGCTAGCAGCTCGTCTTTGAACATAATCTCGAAGTCTGTGACTGGTGAGTTGACTTCGTCCTCGAAGTAAACTTTTGTCCGATTTGGTTTTTCTAGATAGTCAGGTTCTGATTTCGTTTCCAACTCGTCCAATGAGTCTGTGCTGCTCTTCTTGAGTTCGTGGTCTTCTCTGAATATCAATGATTTGGAGAACACCTGTAAATAATAATAAATGAAAATTAGATTTCTATTCATGAATGACATTTGGGCGAGAGGCAGGGTACAGAGGATTATACGGGTTCTTTAAGATTTTTGTTGTTGTTGTTTTTTCTAGCGTTTTAATTATAGTCAAATTTAACTACTGCTGAAACATTGCGGCCTTAGAAAGTTGATCTTAGTAAGATCGAAACTGTCGCAAAACGAATTTTGTAAAATAAGTTTAAAATATATATTTTTTTGATGTCATCTTTCAATTGACGACACTGCACTGTTTGAAAGAAAACAGGGAGAAAAAAATAGCCCTTGCTGAGTTTCTTGCCGGTTCTTCTCAGAACAAGGACTCCCGCCGTAGATTTACGAACCGATGGCGTTGCTTCTAGACGTTCATGAGTGCTTGTAACAGCCTAACCTGAATCAATAATTATGATTGTGTAAGCGAAGTAATTGCAGC